GTGTGAAATGAGGTAAGAATTGATACATCTATGAATTAATTTTTCAAAGATTTTAGAGAGCAGTGGTAAGTTAGATATTGGTCTATAGTTATTCAAGTCAGCTTGGTCACCTCCTTTATGGATCGGAGTGACCCTCGCTAATTTGAGGATTGTTGGGAAGGTAGATGATTCAGTGGATTTGTTAAAGAGCGTTGCAATAATTGGTGACAATACTTTTTTTGTACATAAAAGCAAGCAAGTTGTTTATGTCTCCTGCCTTGTTTTTAAGGGTGTTTATGATGAGCATAACTTCAGTGGGGTTGGTTGGAGCTAGGAATAGCGTATTTGGGTAGGTTCCTATGAGGTAGTCTGATGGATGGGCGTTTGTGCTTGGTATTTTGTTTGCTAGTTTTTTCCTATGGTGGAGAAGAAAACATTAAGTCTGCTGTTTCGGTTGGAGTGAGTAGGGGTAAAGTGTACGGTAGGCTTAGTACTGAAAGAATTAGAGGTAAGACAGAGAGTAGGATTGCAGATGAGCAAGGAGGCTTTAGGGTGGGTAGGGGATGTGTAGATCAAGTGTAAACATTAAGGCTTATATGTGAACAATATTTAGATAAAGGTAAGGAAGTTTTCATTGCATTTATGGATTTAGAAAAGGCATATGATAGAGTGGATAGGGGAGCAATGTGGCAGATGTTACAAGTGTGTGGAATAGGTAGTAAGTTACTAAATGCTCTAAAGAGTTTTTATGAGGATAGTGAGGCTCAGGTTAGGGTGTGTAGGAGAGGGAGATTACTTCCTAGTAAAAGTAGGTCTTAGACAGGGATGTGTAATGTTACCATGGTTGTTTAATATACAGTGGAACCTCTACTTGCGAGCGTGTCCACGTGCAAGTTTTTCCAAATACGAGCAGTCGATGGTCGATTTTTTTGCTTCCATACGCGAGCAAAATTTCCACAAGCGAGCAGACCTCAAGGCAGGTTCCTTGACACTGGTGAGGGGCTCTTGCTCTTGATCTCGGGAATTGTATCTCAGTTGTTTGTTGGACTATCTTATCGAAACTTGGGCAATGTATGATGGAAAGATGCTTCTTAATGTACACCAAAAATGAAAGAAATCTAAGTATAAATAATGGAGTTCACTTCTCAGCAATTAGCCACCCCTTAGTGGTAATTTCGAATGGTTTTTATGGTTGTATTCTCGTTTTTTGGTCTCATTTGATAGAATGGAAGATATATTACAGAAATAGATATGATTTTGATTGCTTTCATGATGAAAAGTGCCTTGAAATTGAGCTCAACCTAGAAGAAATTGTCCATTGCTTGGCTGTTGAGTAAACAAATGACGTCACTGTCCATTCCAATATGCAATCGGAATGGGTTGACATATTTATACAATTATTGCAATAAGGAATAACAGTAAATCTTATAATTTTTGTGTGAATAAAAAATTTACAATAATTTATATAATTTAGAAAAGGCATGTGATAGAGTGGATAGAGGAGCAATGTGGCAGATGTTGCAAGTATTGGAATAGGTGGTAAGTTATAAATGCTGTAAAGAGTTTTTATGAGGATAGTGAGTCTCAGGTTAGGGTATTTGGGAGAGTTGACATATCAGCGGATGGGTTTATGAGTGATGCATTGAGGTATTTGTGGAGACAAAACAACATTATCCATGGAGGCAAAGAGGGAATGTACGAAAGTAGTGGTACCAACACACTTATATGGGTGTGAAGCTTGGGTTGTAAATGCTGCAGCAAGAAGGTGGCTGGAGGCAGTGGAGATGTCCTGCCTAAGGGTAATGTATGGTGTAAATATTATGCAGAGAATTTGGAATGTGGATATTAGGAGGTGTGAGTTTTCGACCAAATTTCGTACTTTTGGTGTCATTACCATTGGGAAATGATATTCTATCATTACTTAAAAAAAAAAAGATGACAGTTTCAGAAAGGGGCCTGCAACAGTCAAAGGGTTAATGTGCTCAAGAGTGATGATCATTACGTACTACTGGCGTCATGAGTAGAGACTCTTAGCGATTTTAATGTGTACCTGCACACCAGCACAGTGTGTAAGTATATTTAGGTACAGGTACACATAAGTAAAATTATCAGAGACGTCCGACTTGTTGAAAAAAATATATATATACAGGTCTCTCTCAACATTCGCGAGGGTTAGGGGATCAAGATCCTCGCAAATGTTGAAAAGCCCGAATGTTTGGTGCCCCAAAATATTGTAGGGAAATATAATACAATACTGCTTCCTTAACTTGTTGAACATGAACAATCATAAAATACACGAAAACGTCGTAAATTGTACTAAATACGTACATGTTATGGCTTAATAACATGTATGTTATTAAATAGCACTGCCTTCACCAATGCCTCCACCACTTCCTCAACCACTGCGAGTCCCTACTACCCTCCCTCTGACCCCGCAACTGGCAGCCAGCCCTCCACCGCTCAGTGTGGTGAGTGTTTTGTTTGTTCATTATTTGCTATTAAACTACAGTATAAATAATGTAAACACATTCATGACTGCATATTGGAATGGCTATTTGGACAGGTATTGGACAGTGACATCATGTGTTTACTCTTGAACACAGCAAAGAATCAAACATTTCTGCTACTGCTAATAATAACAATAGTAATAATAATAATAATAAATACGATAGAATTGAAGAAGGAAATTGTACAAAAATACGAGGGAGTGGTTGACACATCGCCAGTGTGGCTTTGTTTATGCTGGAGTGAGCATTAGTCTCCGTGCTCTTCCAAACATTTCACAATAATTCACTGTTTGGTGCTTGTAGATTGAGTGCGACTGGAGTGGTTGAGGAAGCAGTTGAGGCAGTGGTTGAGGCAGTGGTTGAGGCAGCGGTTGAGGCAGCGGTTGAGGCAGCGGTTGAGGCAGCGGTTGAGGCAGCGGTTGAGGCAGCGGTTGAGGCAGCGGTTGAGGCGCTGGTAGAGGCAGGGGTTGAGGCAGCAGTTGAGGCAATGGTTGAGGCAGCAGTTGAGGCAGTGGTATTTAATAACATGTTATAAATAATATTAATACATAAATATTAACATTATTTTATTATTATTATTATTAACATGTATGTTATTTAATACCACTGCCTCACCCGCTGCCTCACCGCTGCCTCACCCACTGCCTCACCCACTGCCTCACCCACTGCCTCACCCACTGCCTCACCCACTAGCCTCAACTGCTGCCTCAACTGCTGCCTCGCCCACTGCCTCACCCACTGCCTCGCCCACTGCCTCACCACTGCCTCAACCGCTGTCTCACCCACTGCCTCACCCACTGCCTCACCCACTGCCTCAACCGCTTCCTCGCTCACTGCCTCACCCACTGCCTCACCCGCTGTCTCACACCCACTGCCTCGCCCACTGCCTCAAACCGCTTCCTCAACCACTGCCTCTACCACTCCAGTCGCACTCAATCTACAAGCACCAAACAGTGAATTATTGTGAAATGTTTGGAAGGCACAGAGACTAATGCTCACTCCAGCATAAACAAAGCCACACTGACGATGTGTCAATCACTCCCTCGCATTTTTGTACAATTTCCTTCTTCAGTTCTATCGCATTTATTATTATTATTATTATTATTATTACTATTGTTATTATTAGCAGTAGCAGAAATGTTTGATTCTTTGCTGTGTTCAAGAGTAAACACATGATGTCACTGTCCAATACCTGTCCAAATAGCCATTCCAATATGCAGTCATGAATGGGTTTACATTATTTATACTGTAGTTTAATAGCAAATAATGAACAAACAAAACACTCGCCACACTGGTGGGAGGGCTGGCTGCCAGTTGCAGGGGTAGGAGGGAGGGTAGTAGGGACTCGCAGGTGGCGGGAAACTTAAATATGATTTGGCGGCTGGGAATTTGGAGGCTGGGAATTTGGCAGTTGGGAATTCACGAATGTGTGAAGTCCACGAAAGTTGAAAACACGAATGTTGACGGAGACCTGTATATAAATTATGCAATAACTGTAAAACACTTGAAATTTTGGAAAGCTTCCAGACATAATAGATGTGGTCATGGAGACCGTAAACAAACCAGGTGGGGCACGCCGTAGTTGAAAGACCGCTTGCCGTATAGCAAATTTTGGTCATAATTTGACATCGCCGTATTAGAGGAACGCCATAAAGTGGGGCCCTACTGTATATGCTCTAAACTGTTTTATCTGGGTGCCTCTGCAAAAATAGTGATTATGTATGAGTGAGGTGAAAGTGTTGAATGATGAAAGTATTTTCTTTTTGGGGATTTTCTTTCTTTTAGAGTCACCCTGCCTCAGTGGGAGATGGCCAACTTTTTTTTTTTTTTTTTCAATAAGTCGGCCGTCTCCCACTGAGGCCAACTTGTTGGAAAAAAAAAAATAACTTGGGAGAGGAGATAAAGGCATCTCATATCTCTGCTGACTTTAGCTTTGGCCTGAGTCATGTATGGCGTATCATCCACTAAACATGGCATTGTCACCCCCTTAAGTAAATGATGATTTTTTTTTTCATCCAACCTTTGTGATAAATGGGAAATGTGGGAAAAAAATTGTTCTGGAATTTCCAGTCATACCTGAAATTCACATATTTTCCACCATTATTCTGTAATCATCCCATCTTTAAAATGAACATGCTCTCCTCAGAGTTAATAACTCTAGCATTCCATATTTTGTTTTGGCTTAAAGTAGGAAGATGGGTCCCCAGCTCATGTTCCTCTGTATTGCAAAGGGTTTAGTTGTTTGTATTACTGAGTGATGGGTGGTGGGCATGTCACACCCTAAGTCCATTAGGATTCCTATTGATGATAGTAAAACATTTTAAAGAGGAAAGATTATTGTGAAATAAAAAAAAAATGGCCTCATTTCATTAGCTTTAAAAAAGACCTGTAAGTCAATTAAAAATGACTTTATAAAAGGCCTGAGAGCCAGTTAGGCCACTATGGACATTTTATGCTAACACAACATGGATTTAATGTCCTTTTGCTATTTAATGTTAATCTGCTATTTTTCAGATTCTTGATGCAGTTGTTGACATAATGACTTTTGGAGCATTTGAGCCTTGTGAAGTTTGCAAAGAAATAAATTTCCGTTATGTGTAAGTATTACTGAATATTTTAGTTGGATTTCCCCAGGTGCTGTATGCCCCTATGGGTTAATTGTGCTCTATGAATGTAATAGTAGAGCATTTAGAGAATTTACAATATTTCAAGATTTTTTAATGCGGCATATTTCCTACCTAGGCAATTGACCCTAAAAATGAAACACATTCACTATTACTGAGTGTCTAGCTGTGTTTCTGAAAGTTCATGGACCTCACAGTTCAAATGAAGTACAGTCTGGCTAACCAGTTCTAAATCTCTTCGTAACTGTTACACTGCTCACATTCCAACATGTCAAATCCTAATTGTAGTGCCTCTTTGAATAGTTGCTGTCTACTGTTTTGGGAGGAAATTTAGAACTACTGACAAACACAGTAAAGTAAAGCTAGGTGTTTACTGAGTGCAAAGAGTGTATAAGCTTGCAAGATTTATCTATTGTCTTGTGTGTTCATGAGACATAAGGAAAAGCCAGAGTGCAAATGGTATGCATTGCCAAATAACTTTGTGAATCTTCATTCAATCACTAGCCATCTCCCACCAAAGTAGGGTGGGAGATGGCCGCTGACCTGAAAAAGAAACTCTTTAACCATTACTCACTCTGCTGTCTTTCCAAAGGCATGCCAATACTACAGTTCAGATTCCCCCTCAAACTGCAACTTCTGCACCCCTCCTTCAGAGTGCAAGCACTGTTTATTATACTGTATGTTAGCCGAAAAGATATCAGGTTTATTGTGAACACTGTGTTGCTAATATTTCATTAGGTTATTGTTGGCGTAAGTGCTGAACAGGTGATGTGTGCTCTTGAGATATTTTCAAAATTCTTTATAAGGAATCTACATAGTTAATGAGTAAATGCAAAATTATTAGAAAGTTAAGGCTGTATGAATTTGGTAAAATTCTCTTGATAGGATATTAAAAATGTGATGAATGCCTGGAACTATATCATGGTAGGCTTTACTGTGCTAACTTTTCTCCTCACCAAATTCATTCAGCATTAGACTGGTGTCCTCTTGTGCTTCTGTGAGGGAAATTAACAGGTGGTGCAGCAGTGTGAGCAGAGCTACACTACTCCTTCCTCAATTAACCCTCATCTTTTTTTCAGTTTAAAATAGCTTTCTATGCATTTCATTCAGCATTTTTTGGGGGGGGGGCCACTGAGATCTGCCCTTAGTTGCTCAAATGCAATTATTCAATTGTTTTTATAATGTAATACTGTATATTATTTCTTGACATTCACATTTTCAGATATGGTCAAGGCTATGTGTGTAAGGGTAATCTTACAGAGTGGACGAAATGTACAAATGTTGTAAAGGAACCTAAAAGACAACCTTTTCTTGTACCTGAGGAACTGAAAAGTAAATGCCCCATCTTGTAAGTAGCGTACTTTGGTGTTACGTTTTATAAATTTTTCCTCGCAAAAAGTACCTTTATTTTGTAGTCAGTGATTTGTGCATAAGTGTTTTCCCTATCTAATTGGGTGTTTCCTCACTAAAGTAGGGTGACACCCCCCTTCCCCTCAGTGCCAGAGGTGTGCTAACATCACAGTTCAAATAATTCTCCAACTGCAACACTCACACCCCTCCTGAGTGTAGACACTCTCCTTCTGACCTTCATGGTGGCAAGTTTGTTGGTTTTATTGGGAGCCAAATCAGTTTTTGGGTATAATCACAAGATCAGACATCCCTTTATTTTCAGTGGGAATAGGCAAGGTAAAAAATAGCAAACTTGCCAATCTGAGTGATGAACGATGAGCATTTTGGTATAGAAAATGCAAATTTTGCTTCATTTTGAGTTCATCTGTTTTCTTCTTGATGCCTTGTATAAGAAATAAACAACTTGATGATGAACAACTAAAAATTAATAATACAGCCTCTCCTCACTTACTGACGTACTCGTTTACCGATGGAGTTACGACAGGCGTTTGGACGAGTTATTGTGTACTGTACAAGTACGTACTTGGGTCGTGAATGGGCAGGGCAGCGTCTCAGCGTCAAGCATCTGAATCTCTTTTCTACAGCCACTCTGGTGGCCTGGTGGTTAACGCTCTCGCTTCACACGACGAGGGCCTGGGTTCGATTCCCAGCCAGAGTAGAAACATTGGACGTGTTTCTTTCCACCTGTTGTCTATGTTCCCCATCAGTAAAATGGGTACCTGGGTGTTAGTCGACTGGTGTGGGTCGCATCCTGGGACACTGACCTAAGGAGGCCTGGTCACAGACCGGGCCGCGGGGGCGTTGACCCCCGGAAATCTCTCCAGATAAACTCCAGATAGAAACTAGCTTTCACAGTCTCCAAACTACTTATTTGTACAAATTTCCTGTTTTTTTTTTTTCCTCTTGGAAAAGGAATAACAACAGGAAAATGGAAGAAGTACAAAATAAGTTCATTGTCAAGGGGGTTAGTGATGCATTTCAGCATCAAGCAATCTCCAAGACTACATATTTTGTCTATAAATCTGTACTTTATTGTGCATCCCATAGTAGAAAATAGAGTTAGAAGTACAGCAGCACTTGCAAGAGGAAAACAAAACAAAAAAACAAAAAAACAAAAACAAAAGGAAAATGGAAGAAGTACAAAAAAAGGTTCACAGTAAAGGGGTCAGCTGGTGTGTTCATGTGTGTGTGTATTGTGGCGGCTTAAGAAATGATTAAACTCGGTGAACTAGGTATGTGGATGGTAATAATAATAATAATAATAATAATATAATTAATAATAATAATGCTCTGGAGTGCTTTAAATGTCAGCTACCAAACCTATATGAAATACATATGACATTTAAGGGCGGTATGATGTGTGCGGCGCGCGAGCAAAATTTTTTAAAAAAATTATGAAATTGAGTTATTTATATAGAAAAAATAGCTTAACTCTTTGGCAACACAATCGTACCAGAATCAATGTTCACGACGTTTCTAAAAAAAAATTAGTCATTTATATCAGGTATGGTGATGGCGATGTGCGAAGCTCGTCTCTCTCAACCCGTATATTTTTAGAATTTTTCCTTGTTTTTTATCGCTATTTCTTGCATTATTCTTTCTAATATAATAATTGACTATTTGGCATCATAAAAAAGTAGGCGAGCTTATCCGTAGACTTCCAACCATTTGGGAACACCAGCAGTATTCCCGCTCCAGAGAGAGGCAGGAGAAATCACTTTAATTATTATGCTTATATCAACTCACGGCTTATTTATCTATCAGAATTGATCTAATATGATAAAATAAACACTATAAATAACAAACATTTTTATATACTCTAAACTGAATAAAATAGGCCATAATATGGCGAGAGTCCACCAGCAATATTCGATATAAAATTATTACCCCTCGTCTCCATGTTGTATTCTTTGGCCTTCAGTAAGAGAAAAGGGTCTTTTGAAGTGGATAACTGCATTAGAACATCAGTTTACTAAGGACACCACTGAAACAACAGGATTTTCGTGAAAACAAAACAAAAAAAATTCGAGACGGCGTTCCAGGCCTATAAATCGGAAGTAACTTATTCACTTATTTCTCTTTCCTACGCCTTTATTACTTAATTAAGTAGGATAATATTCACAGAAGTTGTAAAATAATGATTGTTCTTAATTTTAGTGATGCACTTTTGGAAATATTCCAAATATTTTAGGATTTATGTGGGAGTAAAGGGCAGATTTTTTGCAAAAGTCTAAGAACTAACAAACTATTTTTTTGTGGAATAAAGATAAGATATTTAGAGGAAAGTGGGTCATTAAAATTTCGTATTAGCATTGTCTCTCGGCACCAAGTGCCCAAACAACCTTATGTCGTCCCATATAGGACTACAATCCTGCCAAAGGATATTTTCAGTAAATCGTTCTTTTTTCAGATATTGTTTGGGATATCTTATTGACAAATATTTACAGTAAATAGTGTAAATACATCGTCTTGTTATTATATTATTATAAATTATTATTATATTATAAATTATTATTATTATAAGATTATTATAAATTATGTATTATTACCATCAACATACCTTTTCACCGAATTAAAACTTTTCTTAAGATGCCATGAGACAGTGAGCATAGCATATGACTCAGAAAAAAAACAGGAAAAATCATGCTATTTTTGTGTTTTTTCTTTTAAGAGTAATTAGGAGTGTTTACCCTGATTTAAACACCATTTTCTTTTGTTGTAGGGCCAGGAGTACAGATAAGAGAATGGCAGCCTCTGCCCTTACCCCTCACGTAATGTGGCATATATTATTCATTTTGGCATCTTGATACAGTTCTAGGGTATTTATCGTGTTTCTGATATCAATTTGGAATAAATGTGATAGATAACCTTTATTACTAGTACTATTAGCATAATTACACAACATTTATTAGCGCCTTGGCTAACATCCAACACCCCTGACAATTCACCAGATACTGATTGCTGCTGCTCACCTCTCTGTGCCTCCAATAGTTCCTCCCACTTTGTAATGATGTTAGATGGTGAATTTAATGTATTAGAAACATTAAAAAAAAAATCTGAAAAAAATTCTGAAAATTCACATGCTCAGAGGGGGTCAGAGACTACAAACCTCACTCAAGGAAAAAGATCTTGGGGTGAGTATAACACCAGGCACATCTCCTGAAGCGCACATCAACCAAATAACTGCTGCAGCATATGGGCGCCTAGCAAACCTCAGAACAGCATTCCGACATCTTAATAAGGAATCGTTCAGGACCCTGTACACCGTATACGTTAGGCCCATATTGGAGTATGCGGCACCAGTTTGGAACCCACACCTAGCCAAGCACTTTAAAGAAACTAGAGAAAGTGCAAAGGTTTGCAACAAGACTAGTCCCAGAGCTAAGAGGTATGTCCTACGAGGAGAGGTTAAGGGAAATCAACCTGACGACACTGGAGGACAGGAGAGATAGGGGGGACATGATAACGACATACAAAATACTGAGAGGAATTGACAAGGTGGACAAAGACAGGATGTTCCAGAGATTGGACACAGTAACAAGGGGACACAGTGGAAGCTGAAGACACAGATGAATCACAGGGATGTTAGGAAGTATTTCTTCAGCCACAGAGTAGTCAGTAAGTGGAATAGTTTGGGAAGCGATGTAGTGGAGGCAGGATCCATACATAGCTTTAAGCAGAGGTATGATAAAGCTCACGGCTCAGGAGAGTGACCTAGTAGCGATCAGTGAAGAGGCGGGGCCAGGAGCTCGGACTCGACCCCCGCAACCTCAACTAGGTGAGTACAACTAGGTGAGTACACCTACCATCCGACTTACGACCTGCTCGACTTACGACCACTCGACTTACGACCGTGTTTTTTATGCCAAATTTCTGGAAATAAACAACTACTTGTGTTGTACAAAGTGTTTATCCTAAACCTACAGTATAAAATACAGTACTAAAAAGCATAAAAAGTAAAGTAAAACGTGAAATACCAAAATAAAACAATAAAATAGTCATTACAAAAATGTTTTCTTGATATTCAGTAGTAAAGTTCGACTTACGACCGGTTTCTCGGAACCGAACTCGGTCGTAAGTTGGATGGTAGGTGTATTACTCTCCGTGCCATTAAAGTAATTTTTGTAAAAGGACTATAATTCTTTGTAGAAACATGGTACAAAGATGATACTTATTCCTAAATGTTGCCAGATTCTTAAGCTATTTTTCTGTAAGCTTAACTTGTATGTGTATTTTACTTTTTTATTGTTTTCTGTGACATATAAGCATTATGCAAATTAAAATAGTTACCTAGTTGGAGTTTCATTTTTATTTTATTTTTTCTTTCTAATATAGTAGGGCCCCCACTTACACAGCAGGTTAGATTCCAGGCTACTGCCGGAAAGCAGACATAGCCGGAAAGCAGAACGCCATTTTTTCTACTTACAAATGCCTGCAAATGCCAGATAACAAGTTTATATTAAGTTAGCAATCGAACTAGGCATTAAACACAATAAAAAGTAAAATACAAAATACAGTACACTCATTATTTACCTCAGAATATTCATAGTCTTAATGTAGGGCAAAAGGTTAGTAGTATTTACTCTTAAGAAGTTAGGTGTGGTAGCCCTCCTGGCCACCCCACTCACACATAATATACTACAACGATGCTTAAAGCTCCACAGAGTGATAAAATTCATATACAGTACACTCATTAAATTCCCTTAAAATATGCGAAGTCTTAATGTAGGGTGAAAAGTGAAAAGTATTTATCTATAGAAAGTGGTGTGGTAGGTAGGGTAGTGTAGGGAAGCCAGCCTGGCCAACCCCACCCACTATGTAAACAAACAGACGATGCATCTGCTTATGGTTCATAAACATTCATACAAACACCTTACATTGTGTACAGGTTGTCTCCACAGTGGTACAGTAGAGTAAATAAATACCAACGCTTCCATTTCATGTAATTTTTTAGAAGGAATGATGCTCTGTCAAATTATTATTATTACAAATTATTATTATAAGTTTTTTATTATTACAAGTTATTATTAATATAATAAGAGGCAGTAAGCCCACAGGGGGTTGTGAATTGCTATATATAGAGTGAAGGCATTACGAAAGGAATATTTATCTACAGTCATCCCCCAGTGTTTGACTAGAGAAAAAGTAATTCTTCCGACCACTCCTACAAAGCCGCTTTGTAAACAAAATGTTTATATGCTATGTAACGTGTTTCTTATATAATTTTGAAGAAAATATCATAGATGGATTAATGAATATATCTATATTAATGTAAAATAAGACATTTAATGTGCCCAAGAGAGATTATTATTACGTAGTATTACTATGGCGTCACGAGTAGAGAGACTCTTAGTGATTTAGTGTGTACCTGCATGCCAGCACAGTGTGTAAGTAATTTAGGTACAGGTACACTTAAGCGTAATTATCAAATTACATATAAAATACACAATAAGTGGACCCTCGATTAACGATCAGCTCCCAACTCGACCAGTTATGTAAGTGTATTTTTGTAAGTGCTTTTGTACGTGAATTTTTTGGGGTCTGAAACGGACTAATCTATTTCACAATATTCCTTATGGGAACAAATTTGGTCGGTAACAGCACCTGAACAGACGTCTGAAATGAAATAATAAACATTAGTCGAGGGTCCACTGTACCTTTAAAACACTTGAAAATTTTGGAAAGTTTCCAGACATAATAGATGTGCTCATGGAGAATGTAAACAAACCGGGGGGGGCGCACCGTATTTGAAAGACCGCTTGCCGAATAGCAAATTTTGGTCATAATTTGAAATCACCGTATTAGTGGAACACTGTAAGGCGAAGCGCCGTAAAGCGGGGCCCTACTGTATACTTATTTAATTCACCATTTGGCGTGGTTACAAAGTGGGCGGAGCTATAGCAGAGACAGAAGCAAGCAGTGTCTCAGTAACTGATGCTACACCTTGCTGCAAGGAGATGTACCTTACCGCCCCATAAAATATTGTATAATTATACTATTACTATCAATATATATTCCAGAATAATATTAGGTATAACATAAATAATGTTGAAGCATAATTGAAATGCCCAAATTAATGAAAACTGACATATAGAGAGGTATTGAAGGATGGAGGGCAGGGAGGGAAAAAAAAAAAAAGGTGAATGCGACCATTACAGAAAACATTGCTAGACACCTAAAGGGGTAACTATAGAAATCACTTTTAGCCTATGCAAAGACTGAAAGTGTGTGGTTTTTCTTGAAAAAAGAAAACAATCAAGTGATCAGTTTATGCACGCGTTTTCGGGAATATCTCTGAAGTTGTTGACCTATTTCATATTGTATTACCATTAATAATAAACATTGTAGGAATTTCCCAGCCAACATCAAGCTGAATGTCTTAATTTTGGGTGGTGACACATTTGAAGTGTCAGTAAGGGGTGATTCCTCGATTAAACGACGAATTCCTTTACCAGCAGGGTCTTAGGCCCTTAACTCCATCATGAAGTGAGGAGAGGCTGTATGGTTTTAATCAGTCTCTTTAAAATTTATCACAAAAGCTAGAAATCTGTGGCACATTATCTGATAACATAATGTTCCCTCATCCCTCAAATAAAAAAAAAACTTTGAAGGTTTTTATATATAGATATATAATAGGACTGCATGGATTACAGCACTTGCTTTGCAAACTCCATTTAAGAAAAAACATGCAGTATTTTAAAAAAAATTCAAAGTAACAAACAAAAAAGATTCTTGTTCACAGTTTTATAGAATAAAACTGAATTAACTAAAATTAGATTAATTGATTGATATTATACTGTGTTTTGTCTAATTTGTTCTTCAATAATTCCAGGATAGCTACAAGTTTAAGAGTGTTGGGAAAAGAATTTGGATCGATCATGGCCCAACCACTGCTGAGGTGATTGAGAAAAAAGAAAACAAGTAAGTTTTAAAAGAATTTACTTTTGTAAAAGAACTGACAGATTTAAATAGTTTTATCTGCCATGTCTTGTCTTTAACCCTTTGACTGTTTCAGGCCCCTCTCTGAAACTGTCATTCTATGTCGCCAAATATTCGAAAAAAAAAAAATTTACTTATGAAAATGTTAGGAATATTTTTGTGAGTGTTTTAAGCCTAAAAAATTTTTTTGCCATCAGTACTTACCAAGATATAGAGCCGCAAAGTTTGCAGAAAGTGATGTGCGTACGGCAACAGCGGCAACTGCCGCCCACCCGGTATTCTTTTATTTACTCTAATTCAAAGGTTTCTTGCATTTTTCAATATTTTTCTGTTCCAGGTAACTTACGTGGCCTGTGAGACCAATGTAAGGTGCATTGTTCAAATATACACTTATTGTTTACAACACAATAACAGAACAAACTTTATCACTATTAGTTTGTGTATACACTTTGTTTACACAACAAACAATACAAAACAATGTTTATTACTATTGTTCCATAATATATATACATATGTACAGTCACTAAACATGTTCCAAGAACTGCTGCAGCTTGTGGAACTCTTTGAAACATGGGTATATGCAGAGGGGCACTTCACACTCCTCACACATAAAGCGAGGTGTCTCTGCGTGTTTGTGGGCATTTTGTGATATGCATACTTACATAACACCTCTTCTGAGCATTTTTCTTGGCAGTAGTAGGAGGCAGTTGTATGGGGTAGTGATCACCAGGCCTGAAACGAGATGACGTGTGTGGGCGCTGGTCTATTGCAGGAGTTGCTCCTTGGTACTTTGCAATTATTTGTCTGATTACTGACAGGCAAAATTCACCATATTTTGGTGTTTTGTTGGTCTTCAACTTGTATATGTTATAAGCATTTAGCATAGAGATATCAACAAGATGGAAAAAAAGTTTTGTATACCACTTATAAACTCTTGCGTACACAGTCTGCAAACCCAATCTGCATATCACATTTGTCCACTAAGCACATATTGAGGTTGTAGTCCATGACAGCTGCATGCTTTAGAATGGGTTCATTGGTCTCTCTGTTGTCCCTGCCACTGGGTACCATTTCGTTTCTGTGAACTGATTGTCAACAATGTGACATCACGTTTGTCATGCCACCAAAATGCCATGATGTCATTGGCAGCAAAGGCTTGCACCTCACCTCTGCGAGTGCCAGCGTCGAACCCTTTGGCATATGTTTAGGATTACCACGCACTGTGCCACACACACGTCTGTCAAGTTCACTCGCAAGAAATCACTGAGTAAGGGGCTTGTGTACCAGTTATCAGTAATAACATATGCCCCTTACCAAGATATGATTCCATCATTGTTCGAACCACATCACCAGAGATACCAATAACTTCATGATATCTCTCAAAGTATTACTGCCAGTGTACACAATGATATCCAAAACTAGACCACTTCTGCAATCACACAGTACAAATACTTTATACCAAAGCATTTCCTCTTGCTTGGTATATATTGCTTGAATGAGAGTCTTCCTTTGAATAAAATCAAGGACTCATCAATACAAGCTTCCTGAAGGGATAAAAATGCATGCAGCACTTTTGTTTCAGGTACATAAACACATTTCTGATCTTATATAACCTGTCGCTTCTGTCAGGCCTGGTTTTGTCTGAAAAGTGTAACATACGTAACAGTATCAGGAAACGATTGACACCTATAATGTCACTAAAACCTGGAAGTTGAAATCAGGCGTTCTGTTGCCCAGTATGTGGTAACAGTGTGCTTATACACATGTGGCATAAGCATTATTGTGGCAAAAAACAGGTACATCTCTGCCACAGTTGTCTCCTTCCACTTGTGTAGCCGTGATTTTGGTGAGAGAATTGTATTTGCCATGGTGTAATCACAGTATGTGTTTGTTTCCCTGACAAGGATGTCCATCAGGGGTTCATCGAAGAATAACTCAAAGCAGTCCAGTTCACTGGCATTGTTCCCAAGTGGACAAGATGGCTTTATTCCACTTTGTGTTTCATCAAAGTCATGGGGACTGGGAACAAACTCGTCACCGTCCTGTCAGTCCCAGACGCGGTCTGCTGGTGGGGTCTGGATATTGTACCGTGGTTGTGCAGGTTGTGGGAGTGTGGGGTAGGGTGAGGCTGGCTGTTGTGCAGAGTTAGCAGCGTGGGTAGTAGCATGGCCCGTTGATGGTGCCACATGGGCCGTGCCACCCTCACTATCACCACCACTGCCTGCTCCATCACTCACATCATTCATACCCATCGTTACAATATCGTCATCTTCACTATCTGGTCGTGGTGTAGGGCCACGGGATGTGCTCCCAGAGTTTCCCCTTCCCCTTGGAACAACATATGAAACACTACCAGACCGCATGCTACGTCGTACATACTGCCGCTTCACTGGGGAATATTCACTCTCACTGTCACTAGAACTGCTTTCAATGACCTTGAAATCACTATCACTGCTAACATCTGGGTGTTGTACACGACCAAATAGTTTCCTCTTTCATCCTGGTAACAGGCGAACGTGAACATGAACAAGCCGGCCCAGCACCAGAGTTGGAAGGTTGTGGGTCATCTGGGTTTTCATCACTAATTACGTTATCCTGGGCACTTTTTCCAGTAACACTCACTTCAAAACCCTGGAATTCACTGTCACTGACATTTTCATCGCTGTTAGAGCTATCACTTGGGAACAAAAGACCTCCAATCCGCCGAGGAGTGAGGAACTTCTTACCGAGAGGCATGGTGAAAATGGACTAACAACATGGCGTTCCCACAATGCACCGCTGGGTCCCAGATTTTTTTCACAGGGTGCACTCCGACCACTGAGACCCATTCTCTCTCATGTAGGCCTACCAGGCCTTTCATGCTTGATTTGAAGCCGCTAGAATTTGTGCGTATAAATACATCAGAAACATTGGCTCGTAAGACGTATTTATACGTCGGAAACAGTCAAAGGGTTAATCATTAAACATTAGCTCGCATGTTTTGGCATTAGATAAGGGCTAGGGTTCTAATTTTCTAGATAATAACACTTGCCATCAAAATTTAATGTTTTATCCAGTTCGGAAAGGTAATTGGTGTTTTAACACTTTGACTGCCACAAACCCATTTCTGAAACTCGAAAAAAAAAAAAAAAATTCTTACCAAAATGTTAGGATTATTTTGCTGAGTGTTTTAAGATTAAAAAAAAAATTACAATCAGTACTTAATGAGATATAGAGGCGTGAAGTTGGCAGAAAATGAGCCACATATGGCAACAGCAGCGAATGCCGCTCACCGGGTATACTATTTATTTATTTCCAATTCAAAGGTTTCTTGTATTTTCCAATATTTTTTTTTCTAAGTAACTTATGTGGCCTGTGACACCAAAGTTAGGTGCAATGTACAAATATACACCTCATTGATAAATAACAAAAAGGCACAATACCATGACTGGAACGATACACAAATAACCCGCACATAAAAGAGAGAAGCTTACGACGACGTTTCGGTCCGACTTGGACCATTGACAAAGTCACACTAACCAGAGGTGGAGCAGGACGGCTATATATAGGCAGGAAGAGGTGGTGGTAGTAGTAGTAGTAGTACAAGAATTGTATATAATACCGACAAGATGAAATTAAGACACCTGCACAACACCCGGGCATCCCCATCGTAGACGTTTCGCCATCCAGCCAGCCACTGGATGGCGAAACGTCCACAACAAAGACAACCAGACGCCGCACATGTGTCTTAATTTCATCAGTATTTGTAGTAGTAGTAGAAGAAGAAGAGGTAGTAGTAGTGGTAGTGGTAGAAGTGGGAAATAAGGATGATGAGCCAGTTAAATACAAAGGAAGGGGAGCACTGCAAGAGAGCTAGATGCCCACAGAGGGAGAGCAAGCGCACAGAGGTGCGTGAAAGGGAAAGTGGTGAAATAAATGAAGAGGAACAGAAACACGAGACAGGAGAGAGAAAGACAACCCAAGGAGAAAAGGAAAGGGGAAGAGGAAGAAGAAAAAGAAAAGAAAAATGAGGATTCAGGTTAAGTCACGGGTGTTCTGAAGTTTGGAGCATTTTACAATGTAGTGGGAGAGAAGGCATCTACAGAGACGAAGCCAGGCTAAGGTTCATACAAGGAAAGTTGTGTATTAGAGAGGATTCAACTAGACGGCGACTGTTTGAGTTGGAAGTAGGGAAGACAGTTTTAGCAGAAGACCAGTCAATAGGATGGCTATGATCTCTGACGTGACAGAAAAGAGCATTGTTAGTGTCGGCAAAGCCTAACACTATTTTTGTGCTCCCTAAGTCTGTCAGAAAGAGATCAACCAGTTTCTCCGAAGTATTGAAGAGGACATGAGGAGCAAGAAATAGAGTAGACACCAGGAACATCTGTAGAGGGAGGAGAGGTATGAACAAGATTAGTGCGAAGAGTGTTAGTCTGGCGGAAGGTAAGCTTGATGTCTAAGGGACGGAGAGAATTGTTGAGATTAGAAAGACCGGAAATGTAGGGAAGGGAGAGGATAGAAGAGTTCCCATGAGTGAGAGTTTGGGAGAGAAGAAATTGCGTTTAAGCACGTGAGAGGGCAGAGTCTATGAAAGGGGAAGGGTAGCCAAGAGGGAGAACGAATTATGAAGAGTGGAAATTTCTGCTGGAAGGAACTGAGGATCACAGATGCGGAGGGCACGGAGAAAGAGGGAGATAAGAACACTTTTCTTGACAGGGGAAGCATGATAGGAAAAGTAGTGAATGTAACATGCCACTGTGCTTTGGTTTACGGTAAACGGAAAAGGAAAAACCTGTATCTGAGCGGTGGACATGGACATCGAGGAAAGGAAGCAAGGAATTAGATTTCCCATTCAGCTTTAAACTTAATGGAAGGGGGGAAGATTTATTAAGAGCTTCAAGAAAGGTTGGAAGAGACTGGGGGTCATGAGGCCCCAGAGCAAAGATGTCATCCACATAGCGGAGCCAGAGTGAAGGTTGCACATCGAGGGGAGGGAAAAAAACAGTCTTGAAGTATTCC